GGGCTTGGAGCAACCTGGGCTAGTGGAAGGTGTCCCTGCGCATGGCAGGGGGGTGGGACTGGATGATCATTAAGGCCCCTTCCAACCCAAACCATTCTAGGATTCTACGATACTTGGAAACGTTCTCCAGTCAATGCAGTCAAAGGTAATAATGGGAAGTGGAACTGGATCACCTTTATTGCCCCTTCCAACCCAAACCGTTCTGGGATTCTGTGCCAGTGGAAGGCACAGCTGAACGTGGCTTCTCCCCCCGCTGAAATTCCCCTCACTTTAGGGAAGGGGTGGAGAATTCCTCACACCCTGTTCCTGTCCCTGGGAGAGCTGAGGGCAGTGTTTGCTGGGAAAGAGTACAACCGAAGGCTGGAAAACATCAGGTATTTCCTGCTCCATGCATGCCAGCAGCCTTCCATGAAGCTGCTCAGACTTCTGGATTCGCACCAGGATCCAGACAAAGCGTTTTGGCTCCCGCTGCCGTGGGGGTTTGTTTTCCTGACCTTGCAGGTGTTACTTTTTATAGGCTCCACGGGAGCGCGGGAGAGGAGCCTCACATCCTGCTGGAGTGCGACAGCAACGTCCTGGAGCCCTTCCAGAAACACCTGAAACTGTACAAGATCCGCAGGAAAGTCGACATCTCCCCCTGCCCTGACCTCTCCCTGTGGGCTGTCATCCCTGGGGAACAGGCTGGAGTTGCCTCCAGCTCCCTCCCGAAATGTGCAGGCCAGGCTGTGCTCTTGACTCCTGACCCCAGGGCAGAAGTCATGGGCTGGAGACTGATCACAAAGAAAGGAGCAAATCTGTCGGAGATTATCCCTGGGATTGAAGTTGGAGACGTTCAGGATTACCACAGGCACAGGTATAAGCAAGGTAAAGGAGAGTCCTGTTTTGCACTCTGTGGCTCTGGATTTTGGGAGTCCGTGTGCTGAGATAAGACAGGAATAAGTAATGTGTTTAATTTGTTAATAAATAAAGGTATTAGTTGCTGCTTTGAGTAAAAAAGTTCTCTGGTGCTTGGAATTCCCTCTGGTGGCAGAAGTAATATTTGGGTTTTCTGTTACTCAGATGATGGGGATTGGTCAGGAATGCTGAAAGAAAACCAGGATTAGTCATTTTCTTAGAAGCTTCTGTGGTTTGAGCAATTTTGGTTATTTTGGGGCCGTGTGTTTTGCTCGTTGCTAAGGAAGGAAAAGGGAACACCCAGACTTACCTTCCTAAAAATTCGTGGGTGTTTTTGCTGAGTTAACTCAGAGGCCAAGGGGAAGATGTTTGATTTGAGAGGAAACTCGCTGCTGGGAGTCCCAGTGCCTTTGATTTTATGGTGTCCAGGCTGATGGTGGATTAAATTAATTGACAGAGTGAAAGGTGATGGTTCTGTGCTTAAATCAGAGTCCATCTGCTTTTGGAAAATAAGTTGCTAACGACTCAAACAATTTAAGGCACTTGGGGCACAAGCCTTATGGAGGAGTATTTACCTCTTGGCTTTACTCTTTTCCCAGGAATTCCTGAAGGTGTGAAGGATCTCCCTCCTGGAGTCGCCCTCCCTCTGGAGTCCAACCTGGCCTACATGAACGGCATCAGCTTCACCAAGGGCTGTTACATCGGGCAGGAGCTGACGGCCAGGACACACCACATGGGCGTCATCCGCAAGCGCCTGCTCCCCGTCTCCTTCTCAGCTCCTCTTCCCAAAGACGGCGTTCCCGAGGGTGCCGAGATCCTCACCGAGTCGGGAAAGCCGGCCGGGAAGTTCCGGGCGGGAGGAGGTGACCTCGGGATAGCTCTGCTGAGGTTGGCTCACATAAACGAGCCGCTCTGCGTCGACCTGGGAGGGGATAAAGTGAAGCTCAGCGCAAACACGCCCGAGTGGTGGCCGAAAACTGCTGCTAAGTAGGTGAGGAGCCGCCACTTGCCTGCTGGAGGATCTTATTCCGTGGGAGAAGTTTGGCCTTTGGCTGGTGTTTGTGGTGTTTGATGGAGGGGTGTCACAGGATGCCTCGAATCGGGACTGAACTCAAACTGGGTCCCCTCAAATCGGGAACCCAAAGCTGTGAGGTCGGATCGTCCACTGGGTGTTGTGGAGAGAGATACACAGGGAAGTGCACTTTTTCCTGAGGGTAATCCCTGTTTATTTAGGGGTTGCCACGTGGTGCTGGATGGATTTTGAGTCTGACCCTCCATCAGACTGTGCTCTGTGTAGGATGTGGGGCGTGTTCCCACCGAAGTGAGCGATGGGAGCAGGGGATTCCCTGTTCCACGCACTGAATGTTTCAGTTCAGAATAACCATTTTGTGGGATTATGATGATTTTTGGTTTGTTTTTTTTTTTTTTGAGTGGAGATCATGCTGCTCTTACGTATTCTCAGGCTAAAAGTTTTTACTGCAAATTACTCCTTGCATTGAGCTTCTTAAACTCGCTGATTGTGTGGGTGTTTCTCCCCACCGCTGGAATTGTGTTCAGGAAGAGGAATGCCTTGTACTTCACATTTCAGACCTTGATTTTAAGTTGGCATTTCTTTGCTTCACTTTTTTTCTGGCCCCCAACACTCTTCTGCCTTCCCAATTTTCCCTGCTCCTGCAGTCTGCATGTTCCTCTTTGCTTCCAAAGCCAACCGGCTCCGTGCCTCCTATCCCTGTCAACCTGCAGTGATTTATAGGAGCCCTTTCTATTTTTGTATTACAATAAATCCATTACACAAGGGCGTGATGAGAGAGGTGCCCAGGTCCCCTCCCATTTTGACCAAAAAAACCACCAAAACCCACAACCTCTTGCATGAATATTTTTAACAAAACCCGTCCAAAGCACATTCTGCTGCTGTTTCAGCGTTACTGTGAAAGGAATTTGTCTGTGAAAAATGCTCATATTGATTAAAACTATGGTTGCTGTAAAGTGAGTCTGTGGAATATCTCGTTAATTATTGTATCTAATTTAAAAGTGATTTATGTGAAGGAGAAGAGAGGGTGCCTTTTATTTGCCTGGGCTGAAGACACACAACAGGACAAATACTTTTTCAGGACAAATACTTTTATTTGCCTGGGCTGAAGACACACAACGGGACAAATACTTTTTCTTGCTGGCAAGAAAAACGCCTTAGGCTGTTGGTCAGGTTTGGGATTGTTAACAGGGTCTTTCTGCTGGAAAAAAATAAATGAAACTGGATCCTCTAAGTGCCACAAAGGCAAGGCTGTGCTGCCCGTTGATGCTGCTTTGCCAGAAGCAGCTTTTCCTCTCTGCCACCCATTGTGCAAAGTCTCCACAGAATAGTTTTATTGTCCTGGTGTGTGCAGAGCCTGAATAAACACTGAATAAACTCCTCTGTTTGGGGAAGCCCTGAATTTTTTCCTGCCTTAGACACACGTTCCTTTTGTCCTCTTAACGTATTTTAGAGGCTTTTCTTGTTGCCAGCAGCTGCAGGTTGCACGTACGGAAGGTCAGACACAAAATAAGGTGGTACTGAAATAAAAAGGTATCAGGTGGATTCTGGAGAAGGGATGTGGCAGAAATGGGAGGGGGCAGCCCCAATCCATGTTATCCTTTTTTTTTTTTATTATTCTCCCTCACATTCTACTCTCTCATTGATGGTTTTAGCCGGGTGAGCTTGGGCTGGGTTGATTTTGCAGGGGCTTTTCCCTCCCGGACAGCCCTGGAATCACTAAGGCTGGCAAAGCCCTCCAAGATCAGGGAGTCCAGCCATTAACCCAGCATTAATCCACCACCACGCCGTGTCCTCAAGCACCGTATCCACAGGGTTTTTGGACACTTCCAGGGACGGTGACTCCGCCACATCCCTGGACAACCTCCCGTCCAGTGAGGAAACGTTCCCTCAGCAAGGGACGCACCAAAGGGGTGCTGGCAGGTTAACCTGGTGCTTCAGACTAAACGCAGCTGGAAAGCTGAGGAGAAACTGAGGGGAGCTCCTTCCCCATCCCCTTTTTCCCGGCCTTTCCCCCCTC